CTCACAGTCATGTGGAGAGACGCTCCCGGGGACAGCTGCGGCGCTGCGGGCGGCTGCGGCAGGATCGCGACATTGAACGTGCGGCTCTCCAGGTGGCCGTGGGCGTCTGCGGCGCTGGACACCTGGAAGGGAACATCCTGCGGGTGAGCTCTGCGGAGCCGCGCGTCTGCACGTTACATCATCTGTCTGAATTCTATCCGTTCTCGCCTTACAAAACTATACACAATCCTTTTAGGCAATTTTGAAAATGCAGGACAGTGTAAATAAGGAATAAAAAATCATCTAGAATCTCACTGCCTACAAATTGGAGTTATTAACATATTGATGCATTTTGGTTTAATCTTTTTCCTACGCATATGTCAAAACTTACATACAATTGTGTATTCTAAGTTTTTACTGAACATAATACATTAAACATGTTTAAAAACACGATTTTTGATAGCTACGTAATGTTTCACTATGAGCACACATAACACATGTTAGATATGTAATTTTTATTCCATTTAAAAAATTTGTAACAGCACAGACACCTACAGTTAGGTTATAAATGACAAATCTCAGCCTAATCACTAATTAATTGTTATGAATCAGCAAGGAAAGATTCATAACAATTAGTGTAGTGGTCACAAAAATTCACTTTTTCTTGCTTTGAAAATACTGGAAACAATGATGCTTTTCTTAATGCAGCTTCTCCCCTCCTTCAGTGCTACTGAGTTGCTCCCTCACACTCTCCTTCTCTTTGTGGTCTTGTTACAAGAATTGATAAGGCCTGTGTGGCCATGTGTAGTTGCATTAATTCCATATGAGAGGGGGCAGAGTGCCATAAATTCTGAGAAAAAGGCAGGAATAGCAGTCTTTTTTCTTTCTTTTCCTTTCCTTTCCTTTCCTTTTCTGTTCTTTTCTTTTCTCTACTTTTCTTTTTTCTTTTTTAAATATGTTTTTATTGATTTTAGAGAGAGAAGAAGGGAGAGATAGAAACATCAATGAAAGAGAAACATTGATCGGCTGCCTCCTGCACACCCCCTACTGGGGTTTGAGCCCAAAACCCAGGCATGTGCCCTGACCGGGAAACTAACAGCTGACCTCTTGGCTCACGGGATGATACACAACCAACTGAGCCACACCGGACAGGTTAGCAGCCCTTTCTTATGTCTTCAACAGTTGGGCCAACAACAACAAAAACTGTCTTCTCTGTCTTGATCACATCTGATGCCTGGAGCTCAAGTTTAGAATATCTTCAGGTTTTCAAGGAGCCATCTTACTGTATTGCTAAATATAATATGAGTAGCAATAGCTATAATTCACCGAACATCTATCATGGGCTCAGCACTTTTCCAAAGTTACCATATGTAATACCCACAAAGTGGATATTATCTCCTTTCCTACAAATGAGGAAACCTTTTCTAGATGAGGAAACCGAAGGTCATGATCTTCCTACTGACCAAGATAACTCTTTCCGTGCTGACCAAGCTTCAGGTGATTAGGAAAATATGTTCTCCTGTCTCTTGAAAAAGAGCAATGGAACACTGTGCAGGTAATAAAATGTGAGCATACTGCCAATCAAGTGAATCAGTTCTAGATTCCTTAGTCAAGATACTGGTGTGAAACACATGGGTCTTTTTAAAACCATATCCCCTGAGGCTATGTTAACATGATCTGAATAGACCAATTACCAGGGCTCCTCCCCATGACAAAAGTGACATAAGTGTGCATGCTTTCTTGCCTATGCCATGCTCTATTTTGTAAAGCCACACACATTACATAAATCCTAAGTCTTACAGGCAAAGTAACAGATGGAATGCATTGATGGCTCATGACAGCACATAAACATTAAAATGAAATTAAACTGATGCAACTCATTGTATCGCAATTTCTGCTTGAAAGGAAAAAAAGAGAAGAAAAAGAAGAATCATGAAAACAGCAATTTTTTTCTCTTTTAGTTTCAAATCCTTTAGGGACACTAAAATGAATGGGAAAAGTTGCTGTTTATTTTGGCACATAGTTATAGTGTCTGTGTCATTTCAAATCAAACATGAGGTAAGCCTATAAAACAACGAGACTTGAAGAATAAGCACACCATTACATCCAGGAGAACATCATCTCGGAGCGTTGTTTCATTCTTGCAATAAAGGTGCTGTGAGTGCTCAAAATGCCCTTTCGGGGCGCCTTCCGAGGGAGTTCAAAAATCAAGTGAGAAAACTGAGCTTGTTACTTCCTAATTACTCCGTTTGAACCCAAAATAATTACTACTCTTCTTCATACCAGACATGATTCTGAATGACTCTGGCTATTTGGTTATATTTTAAAAGCTACTTCCAAAGTACTGTCACTACTAAGGCTATTCTGAAGAAGGCCCCACGGGTTTGGAAGGCGATTTCAAATAGGAGTTCTGAACACATTTTGAGCAGGATGTGCAAAGACTCTTCAAAGGGAACCACTTACTAAGTAGTGATGTTCAACTGCATGTCTTAAACTCAAGGGAGTTTGTTAAAAGAAATGAGTACATTTCGCTATTTTATAATGACCCACTTAGTAAGCAACTTGCAAAAGCAATCAAATATCCTGATGATCCCTTCCCAGGGAAATGCTGGTGTTGACAGCGCTCTTCGCCCTAAGGCCTCTGAAGGCAAAGGCGGCTCTGACGTCTTCTGATTGAGGTCTTTGCCTCCCTTCTGACTCATTCTTTCAGGACTGCTGAGTCCTCAGGTGCTAAAAAGGAAAAGCTAATTCCAGCAAAGGGCGCGTGTTTGCTCACATTCATTGGACATTAATGTGCTCAGTAAAATCTCATTTTAACAGTTTCTGAGTTTATTTCAAGTTGCTCTCTGGAAAAGCACATATTTTATACCATATAAATTAGTCAAGCAATGAAGATGTGCCCTCCAGGCACCAGGGGCAGAATGCACGATGATTTTAACAAGGTGAGCTATTGTGGGAGTTTATCCCCGAGTGGATTCCCAGACAAAGGGAAAGTCTCAGACTCAGAGGGGCTGTGGCACTGCTTTGGCTGATCATCATGAACGCGCCTTCATATTTTCTTTATACCTTCCCAAATTCTTTCTGTATCTGTTTAAATGCTCTTTCTCATTCATATTTCCTCATTCCTTTGTACTTCTGTTCAGTTCTTTATTCCCAAATTGTCACTGACAGAGGTTTGTATAATTTTATTGGTCTTCCCAAAGAATCGAGTTTTGTACTCATTTGTCAATTCTAGCATTTTATAATTAATCAGTTCTTTGTTTATCTCTATTAATTCCTTCCTTTTGCTTTCCTTAGGTTTCTTTGTGGTTCTCTAGCTTCTTGAGTTAAATATTTAGATCATTTATTTTCATGCTCTTCTGCTCAATAATAAGAGCTTAAGACCATCAATTTTCTTGAATATTGGAAACATAATTTAAGTTTTGATAATTTATTTCCTCCTCATCAATATTTCTTAATAGTTTGCCATTTTGATTGCCTTTTTAGAAGTATAATTATTTGGGAGACTATTTTATAAACTCCAAATGGTTTGAATTTTTGCCCTTTTAAAATTAATTTCTAATTATATTCCATAATAGCCAGAGAATGTCCCCAGTATAATTTCTTGTTCTTTCATTTATTGACAGTCTTATGAGCTGGTTGTTTTAGCTGACTCAAGCTACTATAACCAAAATACCATAGACTGGGTGGCTCATAGATAACAGAAATTTATTTCTCCACTCTGGAGGCTGAAGGTCTGAGGTCAGGGCGGCAGCGTGGTCGGGTCTGGGTTGCAGGCTGCCGTCTTTTCATTGTATCCCCATGGCGGGGAGTAGATGGGGGAGCAAGCTCTCTTGTGACCCTTGTAAGTGTACAATCCCTCTCACAAGGGCACAGCCCTCATGATCTCATCTAATGCTAATCACCTACCAAATACCTCACCTCCATACACCATCACATGGGGGAGGGAAGGGTTTCAAGATATTAATTTTGGGGGGGGACACAAACATTCAGTCTATAGCACTGGTACTTGACCAATCTTGATAAATGGTAGTAATAATCCCTTATGTAGTGATAGGCAGTATTCTAAATGTCTTATATGTATTAACTCATTAAATCCTTACAATAGTTCTATTTTACAGATAAGGAATCTGGAGCACAAGGATTTTGCTCAAGTAATTTTCCCAAAGTTATGTAGTTAATATGTGGCAGAACTGAAATATGAACCCACTGGATCTGGCTGCCAAGTCCATGATATTATCAGAAGATGGTAAATGTTCCAGAAAATTTGAAAAAAGGAAATAAGACTGTCTCAAAATAAACATTTTAATATTTTGGAAACATTTTTTCTAAATCCTTTAGCCATTACCTGTTATGAACCTCTTTGCTGTAAAATGACTGTGCTTGCAGAGATATGTATAAGATTGAATTAGCAGATCAAAAATATCTCTCAATGCTATTAATTTCCTCTTTCCCCGAATATTATTTCTAGGCAGCCACAGAAAACTACCTGAGCTGTTTATAAATAAAGGTGATGGTTTCCATCAGACCATCCAGACGCGAGAGGAGTGGGAAGCAGACGGTACCTGGAAGCGGAAGGAGTCGCTCTGGGCCGGGGCCCCCGAGTGCCTGTACCACACGAGGCCTTCGTCCACGTCTTGCTGGGTGAAGGTGCTGGTGGGGGTTGCTGTCCTCCCATCAGGCAGGTGCTGTCCTTCTGTGGGGCTGTCTGCAGGCATATTAAGCAGAAGGACCACCTCCCCTACGAAAGCCATACAGTTAGTGAGGATCCCTGGGAAAAGTAAAAGCAAGTCAGAGCTCTCATCTCCTTTGTACCACTGTTTGTTTGTTTTTTCAGAAATGAAATAATGTACTAAGGTACATTAATTGGGTAAAGGAAAGAACATTAACACAGAATTTAATAGATAATCATCGAATCCATCTTTAGATATAGAATTCCCAGTCTTTTAGCTAAAAGAACTAAAAGTCATTTAAGGGCAACTCATGTATGAAGTTACTGACTTATATCTATTAAAATCATATAAGGAGACTCAAACAGTCATGAACATTGCAAACAAGTCTTTAAATACTGGGCAATTGGATTCATTTCTACCCACAGCTTTCTATGAACAGAAAATGCATTCCAACCAGAAAGTTTCTGGTGGAAACACAATGGAAAAATCAGAAAAAAATTCAGAAAAAGTTATCCTGGGGAGAATTCTGTAATGAAAATAATAATACCTAACACTTGACTCCTCATGGCAGGTACCACATGAAACACTCTAAGTGGTGGTTCAAACCCAGCTCCGTCACATCCAACGATGTGAGCTCACTTATGCTCTATAAGCTCTGTTCCTCATTGGTAAACAAGAATAATAGTCCACACTTCATAGGTGCTTTAAAAAATGTTGATCATCCTTAGCGTTACATTTTTAATCCTTCTAAAGATGCCATTGCCATCTCCATTTTTTTTATTTTTTATTTAAATATATCTTTATTGATTTCAGAGAGAGGAAGGGAGAGGGAGAGACAGAGACAGAAACATCAATGATGAGAGAGTCATTGATCGAGCCTGCAACCCGGGCATGTGCCCTGACTGGGAATCGAACCCCGATCGATCGCCTGGATCCAAGGTTCACACTCAACCGCTGAGCCACGCCCGGCCGGGTGCCATCTCCATTTTATAGACAAAGTCATTTAGGCTCACAGCAGTTCAATAACTTGTTCAAGGTCACACAAATGATTAAGTGGAGGAGCTGGGATTTGAATTCGAAGCTCGTATTCTTGGTCATGAAACTCTGCCAACAATCATGATTATTTTGTGTTCACAGGCCAATATTTATCCTGATAAATATTCTCCTCCTTCATTCTAAACTTCATTAGAATGGAAGCAAGGAAATCTAAATCTAAATCCCACCACCACCAATCTGTTTCTACTGCATGTTCTTCACCTGAAGCTACCATCTTTTAAAAGTGAGGTTGCAAATACAGAGGTTTTACCGAAACAATTAAAATTGCACAAGGAGATGATGCCTTTAAGTGAAGGCCAAACAGAAAAATGGATGAACTGCTGAAAACAGGCTGTGTTCTCACAAAAATGCATCTAGCAATAAATCTGAAAGAAGCCTCTCTAATCCTCAGCGTGTGTGTGTGTGTGTGTGTGTGTGTGAGAGAGAGAGAGAGAAAGAGAGAGAGAGAGAGGGAGGGAGAGACTGTGTATATTTTAACAATGTTATGTAGGAGGATGCCCAATCTTAATACACTAAACATACTGGGCAATTGATAACATACTTTGATTACCCTAGAAATTTGTTTTCTTACTCAAAGGAAATACTCATTCATTTATCTGCACTAAATTCAAGTTAAAAATCAGCATAATGTCCTGGCTGGTGATGAAATACTAAAGCAAGAGAAAAACAGCAATACTCCTCTTTACATAATCTTGTGCGGAATCAACTCACTCACTCTAGTTTCTTTTCTGTATTATTTTTCATTTGTACCTCAGTCACAAATTCCATTACATGTCTCTCCCTGGTTCAACTTCTGTTCATAAGATGCTGCTAATGAACATGCTTTTCCAGAATGTGGCCTGTTTATGAATGTGAGCACAGCTGCAAAATATTTTAAAAGATTTTTGCAATGGAAATGTGGACAGTAAGAATAGTAAATATTCAAATGCCTAGCTCCTAGCTCTTCTGTTTTATAATGTAAAAGATAAGCAGACTTTTCCTGACAAGGCCTAATGAAATAAACCTACTTTTCAGATTTACAAAATCATTGCCACACTATAAAATTAACAGGAATCCTAGGATATTGGCTCATTCCATTCATTCCAACCTAGTAAATAGTCAGTGGATACCTGTCAGGTGCTAGCTGCTGTGCTAGGCCCTTAAGGTAGGGAAATTCAAAGCAAAATGCACTTCCTTCCCCTGAAGACCAGCCCCCTTGCACGATCAATTGGGAGCCACTGTGAGATTTTCAGTAGGTGAATGATTTAGAACATGGATACATGATCGGAATATAGAGAGCCTATAAAGCTTGGAAGTCCTGTTAAAAAGTATACAATAGTAGCTAACATTTATGTGGACAGTATGCCCAACTATGAGGCTACTGTAAAATCCAGGTGAAGAGATGGGGGGACCTGAACTAAGGCAACAGAAGTAAGATTGGAAAGAAATAAACAGATACAAGGGCCATTGAGGAAGTGGAACAGGCCTGACGAACGTGGCTGTGAGGGATGAGACGGAGGAATTGAGAATCAGGTCCTAGGCTAAGCAACGGGTAGGCAAGTGATGCCTCTGATGGGACGAGCAGGCTGGAGGCGAGCGAAGAGTTCGGCACTGGGCACGCTGAATACAAGGCGCCTCTGTGCGGAGCCCAAGTAGACAGGAAGAAACACCCGTGTTTTGTGGGGTTCACCCCTGCAAGGTGAGAGCTTTTGTGTAGTGCCTCGCCTCCACTTTATTATAATATGACAAACACCAGAAGATGACCCTTTAAATATATGAAAATGCAGGTTTAAATAAAACCTACAGAAAATAATCTCTACTTCGGATTTCCTTTATGCTAAAGCCTGTATTTTAACCAAGAATTCTGAAGGAAAAATTTAATAGGTATTAAGAATTGGAGTCTCATTGGAATTCCTATGAATTCCTTTGGGAATGAGATAATTTGTATTAAAGCTTTCTTACACGATGCTAAATAATTTAGAGCTGGCAGTGTGCTGGATTAAGTCAGATTCTCCTTCAAATGATACTGATGATACTTCATTAAAAACATCTCATTAAATTGACTTTCAAACCTGGTAATTAGCTAAGGGTACAAGTAGTAACCCACTTGTCTAAATGTATATTTGAAGACAGTGATGAGTCTGCTAGTGGTTGAACTTAGGCCCTTTATGCACAGACTATACAAGCAGTTTACATTTGGTTCAGTTCCACAGTCAGGTCTTCACAAAAAGCTTAAAACCCAACTAGAACATTCTAAAGTGATGAGAGAGTGTATAGTAGCTGGGGTGGCAAGGAGGTAGAGGCTCCATACTCACATCACTGGGACAATGGGTCTAAGTAGGTTTGTGTTAAGTGGGCTTCTAGTTCCCACTGCTTTTTTTACTCTTGAATGCTTCCCAAGGGTAATATGATTCGCTTATTACTAATATGAGCTCTGGACACAGACAAAGGGGACTATGTTCACAGGAAGAAGTTAATCAAGAGAGTTACAGTAGAAAAGGGTCACAGTCAAGCCCACATGGCATTTATCAAGTTGAAATGGCTTAAAAATCATTTAATTCAGCATTTTTCTGTTTAACATTTAAACAGAATATTGGAATATAGGGCTGTCACTAGGAAATTCAAGTTTTGGCTTTTAATAATCAAGATAAGATAGAGAATTTAATACATCAAATGCTTCAAATATTTTTAGAGCTGAAAAGGTCTTAAACATTATCTAGTTTAATATCAGTGGGTGAAAGTAAGGCAAAGTAGAATAAGGTCTGTGGATAATTAATAGCATTGAATCAATATTAATTTCCTGGTTTCGATAATTATTCTACGATAACATAAGATGCTGACATTGGGGGACACTGGATAAAGGGTATTTGAGAGCTCTTTATATCATTTCTGCAACTTTTCAGTAAGTCTAAAATTACTTTAAAATAAAAAGTTAAAAAAATATCTAGCCTAATCTTTCAAAGAGACTGACGGCTCAATGGGGTCCACTTGCCTTCCTCCAGGTTACACGACTATAATAAATGATATCCCAGCTAGACCGACTGCTTTGTAATTTTATCAATTCTTGATTAGATTATGCTTTTCAGTGTCTGTGGACATTGGAATTATTTTTTAAATTATGCAAAAGCTAATTTTTTCTTCACTACAGAAAATATATAATTTTAAAATCTGATAACCCAGAGGAAAACAGATATTCCTCTACTATTTAACATGTCAAGCAAGCTTTTACTTTTAATGAATATAATTTTCATTTTCAGGTATCTAATTTCTTTGTAAAAAATCTACCTGCCTATTTCTTTATGTTTATAGCATTTTGTTATTTCCTTAGAGTTTCAATACTTTTTTGTGTGTCTTTAAATCATTTTAAATATACTTTATCATAGTTTTTATATGATTGTTTCTTTATTTCAAATCCTTAGGGTTTTAATCTTCTTGTTTTAGTCATATAGATTGTTTCCTCATATGTTCTGCAATTTTGAATTCTGAGCTAATCTTCAGTGGTTTTATCTGTGAGAACCCTGAGCGTTCTGGAATAGAGGGTGGACATTCTACAGTAGTTTCTATTAGTTTCTGTAAGAAACCCAAGAAGTGTCATCGGCCTGAGATTAATTTTCATATTAATGTCTCAGCCCTGGGCTTCTCAAATAATACACCCAGTATAACTTAACTCTGGATCTACAGAGAAATAGGCTTGAAGTTCTGAATGCTCAGTAGACTTTTTTGCTTTACTCTGAGCCCTGAAAAACACAGGTAGGTTTCTTTGAGATCCCTCTGTGCTGGTGAACTTTTCGTTTTCTATTCTGTCCCTGTAATTGAAGGAAAGTCTTCCCAGAGTCTAGGTTTTATGCAGGATCTTAATTAAAACTTTCTGTCTCTGCATGGGCATTAAAGCTCAAGCCCTTGGGTTATCGAGACACCCACAGCTCCTCTCAGGAGAGCCTTGCCATCAATGCATGCCCAGACAGGCTTTGGTACCTTCTTTGTTTATGACACCTCAAGATTTCTCACTATTCCTGCAAGGTCAGCTATGAATGCCTTATAATTCTTATAGTCTTTTATCCAGCATTTCTAGTTGGTAATGATGGAAGATTTTTCAGGTTATCATACTCTACTATCCTGCTAGAAGTTCAAGTAACAATGGAGACCTTGAAAAATGTTTTTGTGAAAAGTTTTTCTTAAAAAACAAAGTCTCATCAAGATGTCTGGCGATGTCCTACAAGGGACACAGGATGGAGTTTGAGAGCCTAAGCTTTGAAATTAAACTGACATATATTAGGTTGGTGACTCTTGGCAAGTTGTCTTTTGTGTAAAATAAAGTTCTTCTAAAGCTTAAATTTTAGGTTTTTCTATAATGTTTACATTACTTAGCATGCTACCTAGTATATATTAAATGTACAATGTGGTAGCTACTTCGATTGCTCTTTTTTTAAAGGGGAAGTGTGAGCTATTAGAAAGTCAAGTTCATTGGAGTCACAACCTTGCTACATGGCATCTTACAAAAGCAAGTCTAAGACTGCTGAATACAATGACGACATTATGACAATGCAAAAAAGAGTTACCAAACTGAGGGTGGTTCTGCGTAATTTTGTAGATGATTTCTGAGGCCCTGGCACCTGGAGCTTCGGCCTGTAAGATCCTGTTGGTAATCTGCAGCATTCCCCCTTCTGGAACCCACACCACTGAATTGGCCACAAGCCGAAGACCTCCGTCGTTCTAGAATAAGGGAAGAGTACAGAATTAGGTCCAAGCAAAATAAGAAAATATCAGTCCTTAAAAACATGTTATCAGGTCGTACTGCTAAAGATTGTCTAAGAAGAGAGATTTATAGCTTTAAAGCCACACTATGAACTCCAGCTGCTCCCTGAACAACACAGATTTGAACTATGAGGGTCCACTTGCACGGGGATTCTTTTCAAATGACCTGTGTGTTCAATTAACTGGCACAGGCCAAACCATGTTGTTCAAGGGTCAACTCCACAGCTGGGAATCTGCAACCAAGGTGAGGAATCCCTATACAGAGCACCAAAGAAAGTCATACATGGAGTTTGAATTGTGCAGGCAGTCAGCACCCCTAACCCCACGTTGTTTAAGCGTCAACTGTATATGTGTGCATACTGTGTGTAAATAAGTGCATGTGTATGCATATATACATAGGTATTTTTCCTGCTTTTTAATTTATCATGAGCAAATAACTTCCTTCATTCAGAAAGACTAAGCTTCTTCATTTCTTTCTATCATTTGCCCACCTCCCTGTCCTCCCATGCTCCCCATCTGTCCACATTTGAGAACTATCCATTCAGCTCTTTTGCTAGAGGGTAGGGTACATAAGGATGGCTGACATGCGACTTCAGTTTCAGAGCTTACAGTCGAGTGGGGCAGATGGAAACATAACTAGTTACAATGCATCGCAAGGGATGCTCTCTAGGAAGCTCGAGCAGCATGCTGAGTGAGGAAAGGACCAAGGAGATTTCCTCTTTGGAGAAGGAATGCTCAGGAAGGCTTTCCTATGGAAATAGCATTTAATTCTTTAACGACAAAGAAAGAGGCTAAGCAGAGAAGCGGTGAAACAGATTCCAGGCAGAGGTCCCAAACTGAGCAAAGACATGAGACGATGCAGTGCGTGCTTAAGAAAATGTCCAAGGGTCTGGGCAAGTGAAGTTTAGGGAGTCAGGAGCCGGAAAGTGAAAAGTGACACTGGAACTGGTGGTTGCCAGAGGGGAGGGGGCTCGGGCACTGCGGGAAAGAGGTGAAGGGATTAAGAAGTCCAAATCGGTAGTTACAAAATAGCCAGGGGGAAGTAAGTAAAGCATAGGAAATATAGTCAATCATATTGTGATAACTACATATAGGGCCAGTGGGGTACTGGAAATATCAAGGGGAACGTGATGTAATATGTATATGATCGACCACTAAGCTATATACCCGAAACCAATACACAGTAAATTTTTTTTAAAAAAAGGTTAAAATAAAAAAGAAAAGTGACACTCTCTTAAGTTGGCTAGTAGAAGGCAAAAGCTGCTAAAAGACTCAATTTACGCTGTAGGCCCTGTAAAGTCAGCATGAGTCTTGGGAGTCCTTCGAGCAGGGGAGGAAATGAGATGCTCAGATCGGGGTTGTGGACAGTCTCCGGCAGCAGGAGATGGAAGGGACGAGAGCTGGGGTGCATCTGGAGCTATGGAAACCCTTTGACAAGTTCTGATAATGAGAGAAGATACGAAGGTAATTGCAGTGGGAATGGATAGTTAGAAACCGGTTCCAGAAACACCACAGAGGCCAAATTGACAGGCCTGGATGACTGATTGAAAGTGAAGCCTTAGAAACAACAATTAGAAAAAGCTGACTGGAAGAAATTACCCCTTTAGTGCTCCTCAGGAAGCGACCATTTTAATTGCAAAAGCTAATGTCATTAAACAGCACTGCCACTCCGGCTTGGCCAGGAGCACACCTCTTCCAGAGCCTCCTAACTGACACTTTCCAAGGAATGAGATTAGCAAGGCGGCTCGTCTTCAGTTTTTATTTGTTTTCGGGCTTTAAAAATGAGTAAATCTGATATTTTAAAATATGGCATTTCAGAACAGATGTTTTTCTAAATTATTGTTATTACTTTCAAATATGCTAACAAAGAGAACAGAGTAAACAGCACTCCCTGGAGAACATTCAGAATAGACGACAACAAATATTCTTTTCGGGCACCTGACAAGAGCGCATTTGTTCCTGTCAGGAGGCGGTCCCAGCTCTTTTCACTAGTCACCAGGAAACTGAGTCAAACTGTGCCCGGGAGAGCAAGAGCAAGGGCACCTTCTATTGTGATGGATGCCCAGGAGCAAAATTCCGGAGACTTTCTCCTTTCACAACCGATATACAATATTATTTACAAAAATATTAAAGTGTGTCAAGAACTTGGCATGTCATCTACCAGAATTCTGGGGGGAAAGGCCCTATTATCTCCAGCAAAATTTTATATAACATAATACACTTGGACCCAGGTGTCTTTAACTGCTCAAAATATTTCTAGTAGTAGCAGCCTCGTCAACTTGGATTATGGTTAGGGAGATCAGTCATACACCAACCACCGCAATCTTGAGCTGACGAGGCAATGTGGCTTTTCATATTCCAAGCAAGCAGGAACTGGGACCCAAATGCACGTCCCAGATGCCTCTCTTACTGCATTTGTCTTTTTTTAAAATATATATTTTTATTGATTTCAGAGAGAGGAAGGGAGAGGGGGAGAGAGAAACATCAATGATGAGAGTCATTGATCAGCTGCCCCCTGCACGCCCCCTGCTGGGGATCGAGCTCACAACCCGGGCACGTGCCCTGACCGGAACAGCACAGAGATCTCCTGGATCCTAGGTCAATGCGCAACCACTGAGCCACACGGGCAGGGCTGAGTTTCTATCTTACCTATACTTTATCAACACAATCCCCTCTAATTCCTGTGTGAGTACCTTTCTAGGAGACAGTACTCCTTGCAAGTCAGTGTTCAGAGACCAGCAACGTCTGAAAGCTTAGACATTAAGAATCTCAGGCCCCTACCCCAGACTTCTGAATCAGACCTTCAGAATTAGAATCTGCATTTTAGTTTTGTTCATCAGCTTTACTGAAGTATACTTGACTGATAAAAACTGCATATATTTAAGGTGTATAATGTGCTGTTTTGATAGATATACACATTGTGAAACGATTACCACAATCAAGCTAATTAAGGTATCCATAACCTCGCATAGTTATGATTTTTTTGGTGTGGTGAAAACATGATCAACTCTCTTAGCAAATTTCTCAAGTATAAAATACATGATTATTAAGTATAGTTACCCTGCTGTACGTTAGCTCTCCAGAGCTTATTCATCCCTTATAACTGAACCTTTGTGCCTTTTCACCAACATCTCCCCCTTTCCCCTGCCCCCAGCCCCTGGCAACCACCATTCTATTCTGCTTTTATGAGTTTAACTTTCTGAGATTCCAAATTTAAGGAGATCATGCAGTATGTGTCCTTCTGGATCTGCTTTATTTTACGTAGCATAATGTCCTCCAGGCTCATCCACGCTGTCACAAATGGCAGGACTTCCTTCTTTTTAAAGACCGAACAACATTCCATTGTGTACAGACCACATTCTCTCCATCCATTTACCCACTGAGGGCACCGAGGCTGCTTCCACATCTTGGCTGTCGTGAACAAGGCTGCAATGAAGGCGGGAGTGCAGATATCTCTACAAGATACCGATTTCATTTTGATTGGCTACACAGTATACCCAGAAACAGGACTGCTGGATTGTTCTATTTGGAAATTTTTTAGTAACCGCCATACCGTTTTCCAAAATGGCTACACCAATTTACATTCCCACCAACAGTGTTGAAGGTTCTTTTTCCCACACCCTCGCCAGCACTTGTTATTTTTTGTCTTTTTGATAACAGGTATTCTAACAGGTGTGAGGTGACACCTCCCTGCGGCTTTGATTTGTATTCCTCTGGTGATGAGTGATGCTGAGCACCCTTCCATGTTCTTGTTCGTATGTCCTCCCCCGAGAGATGTCTATGCAGATCCCTAGCTCATTTTCAATCACATTGCTTTTCTGCTATTGAGTTGTTTGAGTTCCTTATGTAGTTTAGATATCAATCCCTTATCAGATACATGGTTTCAAATATTTTCTCCCATTCCATAGGTTGCCTTTTCATTTTGTAGATTATTTTCTTTGTTATGCAGCTTGTTAGTTGGATGCATTCCCACATGCATTTAACAAGATCCTCATGAGATGTGGAGTCATGTTAAAGTATGAGACGCACGGCCAAGGGTAGATAGAGATCCTGATGGGTCTGGAATGATTCTCCCCAAACTCCACAAACAGGCATTCAGTATGGTTACATTTATAACAGGATAATACATATTCCTCTGTTTCTTAATTATTTGTTTACAGTACTTAAGAAGAAACAGACAACTATCTAAGGAAAAGAAGGATAATTCTTTCTCCTCATTATGATAAAGATGGTTTTTTCAGTTGCTTTCTTTTGGGAGATGGTCCAGGGAAGATTTAAGAAGAGATGAATAGCAAGCTATATACTATCTCTTCTACAGCTAGTGTCTAAAAGGCAAAAATTTTAGCCTAATTTCCCCAATGGGTCTGACATTTTACAATTTTTTTATCTCCTTATAGTTTCTTCTTCTTCTGCACAATGGTGCACATATCCCTGTGAACTCAAGAAATCAGCCTTAATATCAGTTGACTACTCTTCTGCCTAGTGATGTTTTATATATCCTTCAGGGTACCACATTACAAGGCAATGAAGTCCCAACGAGAGAATATGGGGCATAATTAAAGCAGTGCTTTAAATTAAAAAGTTATTCTAATTCATTTCATAGAAAAATAGACATACAGAAATCTTCGTAATAAAGTTTGGTCATTATATATTGTATTACAAATAAAAATATTAACGTTGTAAACCAAAAGTAAGGGCCCAAGTCTCTCATTTGGAGTAAAAAAAAATCCTACGAATACAATGAAATCCTCCCCAACTCCAGGTTAAAGCTTGGGACAAAGTGATGAGCTCAAATGATAGTGTACCCCACCCCCGGCCAAAATATTTAAGATAAAAAACTTTAAGCTAAACAGAAAATGACTATAATTGGATATAGTCCATGTCAACCCTAACATTGTATTTATCCTGTAAATATACCTTAATTTGCAAAGGTTCATTTATACCATAGCGTTTATATATGTCTTTATTGATTTCAGAGAGAGGAAAGGAGAGAGAGAGATAGAAGCATCAATGATGAGAGTCACGGATCGGCTGCCTCCTGCACGCCCCTGACTGGGGATCAAGCCCACAACCCGGGCATGTGCCCCGACTGGGAATCGGACCGAGATCTCCTGGATCCTAGGTCGATGCCCAACCGCTGAGCCATGCCCAGCCGGGTTATACCATAGCTTTTAAATTTTAATCTTGTAGATTTTAGGGGATGATCATGTGGGGTGGCGTGGGTAAGGTGACACTTTGGTGCTGTTTACGAAGATGAAGCACGAAGGAAACGTAACTGGACTGTTCTGTGTGTCAATGTGTGTGATGCAGCTTTGCTCACTCAGGTGAAGAAGACAGAACCCTCTCTCCATGTAGATTTCAACTGCTTTATAAACAAACAAACAAATACATTTTTTTTGTAACTCACAAAGGTTTTTTGAGTGTATACTCTGAGCTGATGCATCTTAAAGACACTAAATTGAACTTAAGCAAGTTCAAAAAAGGTGAAACCCTAACACATGATAAAGGTTTATTTATAAGATAGACCCTTATTCAGAAAAATAAATATTTTTTGTGTGATTGATATGTATAATTCTCAGAAACATTCTTATTTTCAAACTGTGGCCCTGCAAGACAACCAATGGGAGGAGAGTTTTCAAGAAAATTGAGGAAAAGCACAGCAGGGCTTTTAGCTGCTCATGAGCCTCACCACGGTCAATCAGCCGGGAAGGACTCTCAGTAACAGAATTTTCCATTCGGTTCATAAGCATGACACTTGGGGGCTTTTAACATCAAAGCATTACCCAGTTGCAGAAAATAACTGTTCAAACAACAAACGAGGTCAGAAAGATCATCAGATTTATTGCCAATGTGGAAAAAGACGCACAACTTCCAGAGAAGCCTTAATTAATAAAAAGGAAGGTAATTCTTTGAAAGCCCAGCAGTGGAGAGAAACTCCCCAATAAGCTTGACTTTTCCCTGCGCACATTTTCAGCCCTTATTAAGAGCCGAATTGCTTTAGAAGAGCATCTCTTGCAGGCTTGGGTTTGGTAATCCACCCAATTAATGAAAGCTTGTTCTGCAGAGCATTCTTTATTACTTCTTAATCTTGCTGATTTCTTTTGGCCCCTCTCTTTAACAGAACATGGTTCAGCACCAGCCCTGGGTCTGCTTTCCCCTCAGCCACTCAGTAGAAGCCTGGAGAGTGACAGTCCAGTTTGCTCCCCGCCAGGCAAGGATGGAAACCTAAGTTTGGAAGAAGTGATGCAGAGCTCGAGAAACACGAGTGGGACTGACAGCGCCCACCCTCAGCCCCAGGTGGGCCGCGCCAGCGCCGGCAGAGGTGCTCTGAGGGCTTCTCCTTGGGTGCAAGATACATTCGGGGGCAGGACGCAGGCACCAGCCTCACTCAGGCTGCTGCATTCATCCGTCCATCTGTCCAGCCAACAAAAATGTACTAAACTCCTCTGTGTGCCTGGATGAAACAGTTTCTGTTCTCACAAAGCTTCCTTTCCCTACCCCTCCTTCCTTTTCCATCTATCTTACCAGATTAAGTTTGCTGTTGAACAACATTGGGATTAATTTGTACATCTGTTGACTAGGAATTAGACCTAAACCCCTTGGTCATTCCATTTAAGCCATCAGCTAGACATGAGCCAGTCACTGCTTTCACTCCAAATTTGATATACAGGTTGCCCCAGGGTAAGGACTTGGATGCTCATTTTCAGAAACAGCTATCAGAACAAAATCAGTCCTGTCTGACTATACATCTACTGGAAGCGGTTAACAGTTGAGGCATTTTTTCTTCTTGGGCTCCAGCAGGCTTATGATTATAAATAGCTTCACTCATAAGAAGATGTGTTGAGTCCAGAGGGAAGATTCCAGGAAGTTTGGGGCCTGGATTGCTTGAACAGGACACTGAGAAAATGACTACATTACTGTCTCCATTCTGTCCATTAAGGGGATAAGAATATATATGACCAAAGTATGAAAAATATGGACTAGAATGAAAAGAGCCATGAGGTTAAGTGTGAGGAGCCAGAACACACCTGAACTGAAATCTCAGCTCTAGCACTAAATACTTTTATAAAAACATAAGTGTTTTTAAACCTCTTTAAATATTTTCAAACTTCCTTTTTTAGTTTCCTCTTTTGAAAAATCAGAGATAATAATTGCACAAACATCCTAAAATGATTATGAAGATAAAATAAAACAATTCGCATCAAGCATTAGTGCCTAATAAAGGTTAAAAAAAACAAAACAAACAAAAACACCCACAACCCATAGTAGAATTTCCTTTATAAAAAATAAGGTCGTATAGGTTCTATTCTAATCTTCTTTATTAAGATATTGCAAAGATAAGTAGAGCAAATAGGAGGAAAAGTACTTTCAATTCCTTAAAAACATATAGTATATATTTATAAAATACTATCAGTATTACAGAGTGAAATTTATTAGTAGCACATCCTGATGGATGCTGGTACTCTGGTCACTGGTTTCACTATCTCAATTCATTGGCTTATAAACCATTAGTTCCCCTGATGAACAGGTAAGCACAGCATGATAGGGGATGGAGGGCTGACGGGGGGAGGGACAGACACCTAAGTACCAACATGACTCCCAAGTTATACGCACCACAAGGATCTTAAGTTCTGGGCTTATGTCTTACTTATACATTAAAACTCTATTTTTCTTTTTGTAGTCAAAGCAGCGAAAATCCTAGAAATACCCTTCAGCCTTGGGTCATACCACACAAAATGATTGTGCAAGAAACTCAACTGAGCTCCAAACATGGAGATTGAAACCACGATAAGGAAGGCAGCTCCTAGGGTTGCGCTGAAATCCTGTACAATCTTTGAAAAGAAACCAAGAAGGAAGAAAAGAAAACCGTCTGTCTAGACTTCATCTCTTTTCCTAGGGCAATTGCAAGAGGGTGAGAATTAGGATTAGCTACAGGATGGTTATCTGCCTGCTCGGTCTCATGATCAGCCTTCAGCTCTGCCATCTAGCTCTCCATCGCTGTTTTCAGCAGCTGAAAATAACGAGACAAGAGCTGAAAAACCAGTGAGCAGATCATCTTAGATTCAGGTGTGCACCTTCATAAGGCTCAATCACAAATTTTGAGTGATCATTGGTGAGAAAGTTACAAGTGATTTCTAACCTGTCCTCAGCAAATCAATCTCTCTAGCTGATCATTAATGACACTTTATTAGGTACTGACATTTGGAATGAAAAGTTTCAAAAAAATTATGTCTCTTAGTCTACCACGATGACAAAGAGCCATTCTTACTATAACAGAAAAGAGCTTCTAATGAAATATCATCAAGTAATAAATGGTTTTGAAAATATTTTTCAATAGGTCTCTTTGATTTAGCCCAGTATTTCCCAAAATGTGATAGACATCCCACTAGCAGTATCCAAGGATATTTTATGTAAGACATTGATACCATTTTATAAAATGGGTATATATTAATTTTAATATTATAGAAAAAAGTATAATTTTACATTAAGCCCATGATCTCACAACTGCTGTTTATTAGGATGTGGACACAGTAAAAGATGAAGTTGATTCAAAGTAAATAACAGGGCAGGTGTCGACTGCACACACGGCAAAAGCATACGGAGGTGGCACGGGAATGACACTGAGAAACACTCCTTCTACCCCACAGGCCAATGAGTCCCATGATAGCCTAGAGAGTTCACGCATCCTACTTCAGCTGGGCTAGCAGAAGGGCTGAGCTCATCTTTTTTGATGCATTATGATAACTGGACTATGAGCTTCACATACTTCACGAGCTGTTTTAGAGGAGCAGACAAGAACAGGGGTGCATAGAGTGTGATCATGTTCAGGCAGGAGACAACAGGATCAGTGCACAAGGAGGCATTTTTATGGAAGCAAGTCAACATGAAGATTCAAAAGCTTACCTTTTGTAGAGAACATGGGGCCAGGTCTTTCAGATCAAAAGTGCTCCTAACAAAATATATCCTGCCCCTGGGATTGAGTAACGCGTTCTCTTAATCTTTGAATATCCTGAGTATCCCCATAATAGGTGCTTAACAAATGTTGGAATAAATAACCACCCATATCTTTATGAAATTGAAAAATAATATCATCAACAAAACAACATCTTGGAGCAAGGAAACCATAGCTCTAGGAATGACACCTACCTTGGGCACAGTCTTCACGTGGAACAGTATGTTTCGGAAGGAGTATCCATCATTGGCCTGCAAGACTGCAACATCGGATGTGCTGTCCCGGCCGTCGTGAGCATAGTGGAGAAGGCCCCTGGAGAGTTCGTCCAGCCGGAATTGATAGACAGGGGTTGCAGGCGACTGGAGTGTTTGCAGCAGTTGGCCGTGAAGTGGAGGAGCCAGCACTTCAACTACCACATCCTGCGGATTGTCATCATCTCGGATGTCAAGGAGCTGGGTGGTGATGGTTCCCCTCGCTCCTCTGCTAATGTGGAGGGCCTCATTTCTCAGCACGTAGGGGGGCTGGGGAGTGAAGGGAAGGAGAAGAGAAAGCATTTAGCAGCAAAAGAGAGGACAATCCAATGGGATAGATAGCAGCTATGTGCAACCTAATTGATATTTTGATGCTTTTTACAGGTCTCTAGATGTTCTAGCAAAGTGCCCAACTGTTGCATATTCAAAATATTTGTCTAAGGCATGGTCAGTCACAGTCATCACAGCAAAGGACGTTCCTTCACATCTCTGGTTCTGCAAATATCTCAAGGCACTCCAGGATTACAGTATTCATCAGAGGCCATTTAAGGAGAGCTGCTTGCTTCAAGATCTTTGAAGTCTCTGCTTTCTTGATTTATACCACATGCCCTGCACTGTAACTGTGATCAGCTCAGTGTCAGGCAACCCAATCAGTTGTCTGCATCCAAGAGAGACTAATAAGATGTATGGAATTTTTGCATTTGTGTTGGGAGTTGAGCACTTCATTCCAGGCCATGTTGCAGCATGCTGACTCGGAATAAGATAATTTTGCATTCTGAATTCACGCTGCTTCTGGTCCCTGCCAGTAATTTTCTTCAAGTTGTCTCATCCATATCTTGAAGGGGCTCACCCCAGCTCAAGTTATGAAGCCTGATAAGATCATGGTCTGAGTAAGGCAACCACCTGGTTAATTCATGTGGTACTGCTAATATAGGAAAATTTAATATGTTTTCTTAGGATTATCAGGTTTCCTCTTACCAGATAAAATGTTCTTTCATAAAGATAAAAGTTAATGAGCCACAACAGAAAAAAATCTCACTAAAAAAAAATCAAGGCCAGGAGCCAAAAAAACCATGATCTTAGTTTTTTGTGTCATTTGAAGTTGAACCATCTAGGATTTTTCTTAGCACACTGCCTTCTTTAATCCAAATGGCTTTCTTTTAAAACTAGCCCCCCTGGCTTCCTGGGAATTTCAATGTCTATTAAAGTAATGTCTAACTAATGTATCGTTATAATAATCACATAATAGGAAACTAGAAATAGCTACTCAAAATTCCCAAGTGAAACTTCAAAAGCTGTGATTCTACTCATGGGAATGAAAGGTCCCTCGGATTCTAAAGAGAGAGGTTAAAGGTGATATCAAAATCCATAAACAAAAAAGATCGACTTAACTTACATGAGAAAATCCCAGGGAGCCTCAAAACCATGTTGAAATATCACAGAAATGTAAAGGAACAAAAAAAACAAGTAAAAACTCATTTCTAAAATTCCATTTTTGAAAAGTTTAAATGATAAAAGTGTCTCATAAATAAAATACAAATGTACCCTCACTATCCATTCACCTGATGTTGGAAAAACAAATTAAAACCAGGGGACCACAAGAACTCACCATCTCAGTGAGGAAGCCATGTGCTTATACCTACACTGGGCCTTTTCTTCACCTATTTAGAGTAACTGTATTACACAAACAAAAAGAACAAAACAAAACTTCTGACTCAAGTTCACAAAACATCTAAGCCAGTGAGTCCTGAGGCTTAATGTTACCCTCTGGGCCATATTTACAGAGATCACATTTTAGCTACAATTAAAACAAAATTCATACTCTTAGCCCAACTCTGAGATCAAATTAATTTAGGATCAATTTCTAATCATTCCCTAACTTCGGTCATCCCTAAAGTGAGAATGCCATCAAGAAGAGCTGAGCTGGGCTGCTCATGTCATTTGGCAGCCACGTCTAGATCAAGTCTATGTTATCTACAGTCCATGGTCTTCTCATTTTTGGACCAAAGATATAAAAATGTCAGTTTAAAAACAAGACCTCATATCCTTCCTTAAATCATGACTAAATATCCTGAGATCTGGACATTTAGGAAGCCTTGCTTCCCCCTGATGATGTCCCAATCTCCTGCTGTTCACAACTTCAGGATATATCTATCTCCCTGCTCTCTTTGCACATTTCAGCTCTCAAGCCCAATTACTCAGAGTTTCTACCACTATATGTATTCTGCACACATGAGTACAACTTGATAGAGATGAGTGATGAGAACAGAAGAACCATCACACTGAGTTTTACAACATCTTCCATGATTTCCTCAGACCAATGCTTGGCTGATGACCACGCTGGCACTACATTTAAGAAGGTCCTTAATAAGATCATCTAACTACTGCCAACTAAGATAAATGCAGTCCGGCTGCATGGCAGGCAAAAGCAGCCAACATAATTCCATACCCACGAGAGAAACATTTAGACAAAACAAACTCATTTATCTAAGGATAAGGAAAGTCTTACGAACTAGAACACCTCAATTATTCTGATGGGCTAGTTTCAGACTGAGCATAGCAACAGACAGCACCATAACATGATGATCAGGGACCCAGAAGCAGCACTCAGAGTTACTGGGCATAAATCCTGGCTTTCTACTGATTAGCTGTTTCACCATAGACAAGTTACTTAAGCTCCCTGTGACTTCGAGTCCTCATCTGTAAATTGGGCACAATAATACCTCATAGGAATGGCATGAGAAACACTACAGGGAGTACTGCAGATGTTTCAGTAATGGTTGTTGCTATTGTTTTTGCCCAGAAGTATTAAAAAATTATTTCAGGAGGAAACTAAGACAAGATTAATTCAGCTCATTCATTTGTCTACAACTATAAGAAACCTTGATTTGTGCTTGAGAATTGGTAGGCATGTAAAATTATTAATACTGTGGCATTTTCTTATTACCTGTGTTGAAAATGCTTGTATGTTGATCAGCTGTGGCTCAGAGAAGAACTGCTGGTCACTAATTTTCAGGGAAAAGTAACCTTTCCTGAAAGAAATCCCCAAGAAAGAAACAAGAAAATAAAATAATTAAACCAGTCATTAGAAAGACAAGGATTCAAAACATTTCCAGCCTATGGGCATGGAAGAATTTGGATCAAACAACTACAGTAATATAACATCCATACTATAAATAAAAATGATCACATAGAGATGAACCTAGTGAGACGCAGGTAAAACTATTGTTTGTTCTTAGATCTCATTATAACAATTACGTAAACTTTTTTTTTTCTATTTTCCTAAGTTGACTATATAAAAGGTTGAAAATCAGTTTTGGGGCCAAGAAAGGTTAGTAACATATCGTAGGCTAATGGTAAAACTGAAGAATGAAAAAGGAGCCTTTCACGGTCTTTGAGTAGTTCTCCATGGGTCCCTACTCCCTGCAAACCCTCTCGCCAAGCCCTACCCAATCCACGTGAGTGGACCCCAAATAACAATGTTTGCAATGCTGTTATTACCTGACTCATCTATCCAACCCCTCTAGCCACACACATGCAACGTTCAGTGTGGACTTGATTAGGGAAGGATGTCTGACTATGGACCACTGGGAAAGCATAGTCTATAGTGTAAATGACAGTGTGGAGGAAGCCAGTTTGTAGGAGAGACATCCATGAAGCCTATGAGCCAAGACACAGAGCCAAGACAAAGAATCGAGTCCTGCTCCTGTTCCGGGGTCTACCTTCCAGGCTTGCCCTGCAGCCCAGCTGCCCTTGATGTCTTTGAGATCTGAGCCATACCTGCAATGTTACAACAAGCCTTACTATTTCCTTAATCTATTTCGAGTTGACTTCTATTACTTGCAACCAAAGAATCCTAATTAAGAGAACAAAATAAGGCTCATTCTTTGTTGTGGGTTTTACCTCCTATAAAAGACTGTTGTTTCATCAACTTCAGAGACTACTAGAAGGGAAGGTAGGAGTTGGCCCAAACGAAGCACGGAACTCACTTTGGGCTGGTAAGACATGGTTAATGAATATGAGAGGGTTTGCATTCTGGTCTATGATAGGGACCACTGTTTTAAAAGTTCTTTAAAAGGTATTCTTGGAACTAACTTCTGATACATGAAAGAATGTGGATGGATCTCAAAAGCATTATGGCAAAAACCAGAAACAAAAGATTACATACTGTATGACTCCATTCACGTGACATTTCAGGAAGGGTAAAACTACAGGGTAAAAAACAGATTAGTGGTTGCCAGGGACTGGGGAAGGTAGTGACTGTGAGTGGAGATTTTTTTGAGGGATAGAACTGTCTTATATTTTGAATGTGGTTGTAGTCTCAAGACTGCAAGATGGTATGGTATACATTTTTTAAAAATATGTTTTTATTGATTTGAGAGAAAGAGGAAGGGCGGGCAGAGAGAGGGAAACATTGACATGAGAGAAAAACGTCAACTGGTTGCCTCCCGTATGCACCCTGACCACGGACCGAACCTGCAACCTAGGTATGTCCCCAGGCTGGGAATCGAACCAGCAACCTTTTGGTGCATGGGATGGTGCTCAACCAACTGAGCCACACCGGCCAGGGTACGACAGTCTACATTTGTTAACACTCATAGAACAATACACTTTGAAAAAGTGAATTTTATTAAATGCAAATTGTACCTCAATAAACCTGATTTTAAAAAGAAATTTTCTTGTTTTTCCTCCTATTTTCTCTTTCCCTTCATTTTCTGCCCCATTTAAATCCTGCTCCTCTCCAACCCACGTGCAGACTTCAAGAGAATGCAACTGATGGGAATAACAAAATGGACAACGAAGGGCCGGTGACTCCCAAACCACTGGGGAAAATGGTTTTTGTTGGCAATGAGGTTTCAATAGCTGTGTTCGGCATCTCAGTAACAGCAGCATATCTCGGCTTCTGACTATGTTTACAGCTTGTTTCCTACTCCACAGGAGCATCCCAATCCCAGAGGATTTCAGTCTTAAAGAATCCCAGTCCTAAAGAACTTGGTCAATGTCTGCATGGTGAAAAACCACGAACCGGGTGGCAGGTTGTAGCTTTTGTTTTTGTATCATTCAGAGACACATCATTTCCCTTTTTTATGAGTTTGTACCAATCCTGTTTGTCTTACTATTCCTCTCATTCTTTCTTTTGTTTAAATTTTTAGATAAAGGAAATCCAACGTTAAATGGGTACCCCAAAAAAGTACCAAAAAATCCCTAAAAAACAGTTGCCATTCTTTGTCCCGATTATGGGCGCAAAGCTGACTCTGCAAGAAAACAGGTGATGAGAGATTAAAAAGGTTAGATAGATGTTTCACTTTGGTTGTTTTTGAAGCTTTATGTATTTTATGCACATTTCACAAGTGATTCCAAGATAAGCAACTACAGGTACGTGTCTGTGATATGCAAACATTTAACTATATCTGCAGCAAAATGAATGCAGGAGATGGGGCATGAGTTTGAAGAGTGCTTCTATGGCATCAAACACTAGAGTTTTAAGCTCCATCTGTGGCAATACTTCTGTTTGCCCCTGGAAGATGGAAGCATGCCCATTATTCCTGCTGTTATTGAGAAGACAGAAATCATAGTGGCCAAAGGCACGGGCTGTGGAATCAGAGAGCCTTGGGCTGGAGTCTCAGCTGTGCGCTCGTAGGGTGCAAGGCCTTGGGCAAGATTACTTACACTTTTAAGGCCTTGGTTTCTCTATCTGGAGACTGGAAACAAACATAGAGAATTTATGTCAAGTAGTTAACATGGTGCCTGGCTCACAGCGCTCAGTGAACGTTACTTGCTCTTATTCCTATAGATGGTTTTGAGGCTATTGGCTCACTACCTCTGAACTGCAAATAGAGAAAGTGCCATTTCCTTTTCTCCCACCTATGTCCTAGCTCAAAGCTTAAAAAAAAATCTCAAGCTTAGTGGTGACAGTAGAAAACATTCCCTGTTTCCTTATCACTACTCTCTGGGTATCAACTCCTTGTTTACAAATACAGTCTAGTCTTAATTATCTGCACTAATGAAGCAGAGCAGGGTGAAGGATAATCCAGGAGGCTAATCTTTGGGGTGCATTCTCTGATTTCTGCTTAGTAGATTTACTCTGCTAATTACATGGCTCTCTTTGCCTGGGTTAGTGTTAACATTCTACTGCATTCCTGAAGCATATGTCAGCTGGGGCGGGGAAGACGGCCAGAAGTGTGCTAGGCAGCAGAGGAAAACTGGATCAAGCTTAAAAATTAACCACAATTAATCCCTTAAAGTGGATAATAAAAAGTTAACTGTGGCTCTTCGTTTCCTTCCAACTCTGAAATCCTAGGACGCGCACAACACCTTGAAAAGAGTGTACTCCATCTTCCAGCCGCTCCCTACACCTAGTATATGACACCAATGCGGGAGAAGCAGCTGCAGCTCTGGGTGCATAACCAGTTTTGTTTCTGCTGGGCCAAAAAGCTGGGTAATTGTACTAGGAACTTTCCTGTCACACCAGAGAATTACCCATAATTATGTGATAAAATGAAAATGCCTCTAACAGAAGCACACTCTCTGAGCAATTACAGTGAAATGATGACAGGCAGCTGAAAGCATTTGGCATTTGTGGAGTATGGATCTTTCCCAGAAGGGAAGGGATAACTATGGAGAGAGGGGGAGTCGGGGCCAGGGGGAGGCACAAAGCACTGGTGGAAGGGAGGCCGGAGGAAAACTGCAGAACAGCCGAGTCACCTGGGCTTTTCTTTGCTGTGCACAAAACGCACTTTTTTCTCGCTCACGTCTTTCCAGCTAAAATGGCCAGCCTTGTCGAGCGGAACCTCCTTCCCGCTCCTTGAGAGCACTAGCTGCCCGTTGGTGGGAGTGCTCACGACATGGAACAGGAGGTCTTCGACCCTGCCGTCCTGGTCTTGGACATTCAGGAGGGAAAAATCCAGTGGCTTCATCGAACCAATGGCAAGGATGAGAGAACCATTCACATGAAGACCAGGAGTGTGCATTTTGCCTGGAAAACATATGAATCCAAAGGTCAGGCTTATCAAGAATTAGGAGAGAGAGAGAGAGAGAGAGAGAGAGAGAGAGAGAGAGAGAGGGAGTGTGTGTGTGTGTGTGTGTGTGTGTGTGTGTGTGTTTAAAGAAAGAGTCTTGTAATGTTCATTCAGAGCTACAAAGATGAGACTCTAGGCTACTGTACACCACAAGCTTCCTTCTAATCCAGCGGTTCTCATTTCAGATGTGCAGGAAAATATCATAGGATCTTATTTTATAAGTTAAACTATTAAACTCCTAGAAAAAAATAGGAGTAAATCTTTGTGATCTTGAATTAGGCAAAGCTTTCTTAGATAGAACACAAAAACACAAGCGAAAAAAGAAAAAACAGATAAATTAGACATCACTAAAATTTAAAAATTTTGCGCTTCACCAGGACACCAGCAAGAAAGAAAATAGACAACCTGCAGAATGGGATAAAGTATTTGCAAATCAGATATTCCTGAAAGGGAACTTGAATCCACAGTATATAAAGAACCCTTCCAATGTAGCAAAAGACAAATAACACAATTTTAAGATAGGCAAAGAATTTGAATAGGCATTTCCCCCAAAGAAGATTTTTAAAAGGCCAATAAAGCACAGGAAAAGGTGCTCAATGTCATTAGCAATTAGGGAAATAGAATTAAAACCACCAGGTGATTCCACTTCACACCCAGCAGGCAGGACAATAAAACCTGTTGCTGAGGGTGAGGAGAAATCAGACCCCTCATACATTGCTGGTGGGAAAGTAAAATAGTGCAGCCCCTTGGGAAAACAGTCTGCAGTTCCTCAGATAATTAAATACATAGCTACCGTATGACCCACCGATTTCACTCTTAGCCATATACCCAAGAGAATGGAAAACATATATCCACACAAAAGGTTGCACACAAATGTTCATAACAGCATTATTCATAACAGCTAAAAAGTGGAAACCCAAGTGTTCGTCAGCGATGAAGGCATAACACAATGTGGTATAGCCACACAATGGAGTATTATTCAAGCATAAAAAGGAACGGCACACTGACTGATAGATGTCACAATATGGAGGAAGCTTGAAAGCATTATGCCAACTGAAAGAAGCCAGACAGAGAAGGCCAGATATTGTAGGACTCCATCTACGTGAAATGTCCAGAACAGGCAAATTCATACAGAAAGTAGATCAGTGGCTGCAACGAGGGAGCAGTGGGGAGAGACTCCCAGTGCTTACTGGATTTCTTTTTAGGGTGAGTAAAATGTCTTGGAATTAAATAGTAGTGACGGTTGCATAACTTTGTAAATATACTAAAAATCACTGAATTGTCTACTTTAAAGGGTGAATTTTATGGTATGAGAATTATATTTCAGTAATAGTAACAATAAAGAATCACACAGGGATCTTTAAAACAATATTAATACTTGGGCCTCACCACCAGAGATCCTGACTTACATGTTCTGGGTGGGACTCCAGTGATTTTACAAACTCCCTGGGTAATCCTAATGGGCTCCAACGTTGAGAACCACAGTCCTCTCTTAAGACATCTGTCATACCTGACCATCAGACCCACCAAGGGCAAGAAAAGAGGCAAATGTCTAATACCAATGCTAGAACAGTACCAGTTAATCCATAATGAAGTAGGATTATCAGTGGCTTCTATTCAAAATTCACGTGAAATACATACACTTTGTTTAAACATTTTATAATCTTTGTCCACAGGAAACACCTGACGGATGGGTGAATTAGGATTTCCAACCGTTCTGTCCCCTGCAAGCTGTTTTGCCTGGACTTGAAAAGGTAGTGTTTCCCTCTGCGTGTAGGTCAGGCAGGACCGTGAGGAAGGCCGGCCTTCAGGGGCACCACTACCACGGGAATGTCACTCTAACGAACGCAGAATTCACACCGGCACACTGACTTGCATTGCATCCCAAGAGGAACAAGCAGACTCTCAAGTCCTTGGGGTTCCCAGAAGGATGCCAATAAAATAAGCCAAAGATACTTTTTCTCATATGAAGTCTTAATATCCTTAGAGGTCAGAAATAGAGATGGAAAATCTGACTGCAGGTGTTAAAATATGCCTCACATTATTGATAAAGGAAACCCAAAGCCAAGGAATGCTCAGCTGTAACAGAACTCCCAAGCTTTACTCACCTATGAAACTCCTGGGTTTAAAAAGTAAGACTGAATTTAAATTTGCTTCTCTTCACTGTGTAAGGAAAAGGGCCCATCAATATGTTAGACAGGTCTAGCTCCGCCCCTTTAACGTGTTACCTTATTCTTTTCTTATTTTATTCTTTATTTTAAATATGTTTTTTATTGATTTGAGAGAGAGAGGAAAAGAGAGAGGGCTAGAGAGAGAGAAATATGGATGAGAGAGAAACGTCCATCTGCTGCCTCCTGCAGGCCCCCTACCAGGGATGGAGCCCGCAACCCGGGCATGTGCCCTGGCCGGGAATTGAACTGGTGACCTCTTGGTTCATGGGTCAACGCTCAGCCACACCAGCCGGGCTGTTATCTTTTTCTTAATGGCAAATAGTGTGGCTTGAATCCATGCACTTCAAATGCGTGAACCTAATGGGGCAGGCTCCTAACACTACTCATTTATTTGTAATTTATCTCCAGAGTGTGCACAAAGGACACACCATTGCATCCTGGCCATACTTAGCTCCACGAGTTTATATAAATGTAAATAAATTATATCTAAGTATATATGTCATTTTCTACAACATAGTTGTAGTTCAGCAACATAAGTAAGTTTTATGCCAAATTTATAACCTGACAATTGATTTTAAAGCACAGATTGCTTCTTTTCCTCCTCCAGAAATCTTAGAAGCTGAGTTTTCCCAATCTTTCATATTCTATAAAGAGCTCCTTATTCCTAGCAGCACCGGGGGCTTCCCCAGGAATGGGAATCCTGCATTTTATACCGCATGAGTCAACTGCATGTGCAAACGCAGCCTCTGTGTGTGGAAACTGCAGGTGAATTCACCCGACCAGGAGTGGAGGGGTACTTACCAGCACATGTTTCATTAGTAGAGTGGGCAGAGAGGCCAGGAATGCAGTTGGAAACACAAAGGCCACTCTTCAGAGAGAACCCATGGTCACAGCGGTGACACCGGTCCCTGTGGCTGCACTGCAAGCACCCCCGAGGGCAGGCTATTCAAGAGAGGACACACTAAGTGACACACAACAAAGGCATGGCCCCCAGCTAGAGCCACCCTTGGTGAAGTAATGAAGGGAGCACAAGAACACATGGCTGCCAACTGCAGCAAAAGAGAGTTCCAGCAGCTTCCTACAGAATTTCAGAGAGAGCTGATCGGGCCTGGGAAGGAAAGTGAGCAGAGAGAAGCACTCTTACTGTATACACTCTGCTCGGAAAATGTTTCCCATGAGTGGACTGTTTAAAAAGTTAGCCATAGTGCCTTGTAAAAGAAGCAGTTTATAGCGATTAAGAGCACAGGCCCTTTCTGGGTACTGCTCCTCCTCTACCACTTACCAGCTGCCAAGCTTGGGCACGTTCCTCTAACTACCTGTGGTGCAATTTTCTTGTCTTAAAAGTGGGAAAACTAATAGCACCTAATGCAAATGATAGTTGGGAAGATTACATGTGTTATGATGTGTCCTGACTAGAACAGTGCCTGGCACACAAAAGGACTCAGTCGCATTACAACTATCATTGCTCCCCTCCTATTGTTTTTATTATTATTATTTTAAATGCATGAGGCGAACAAGCTCTTTAAAGGACCATAGATTATTTCTTCGGATCAAGTTAATAATCTCTAAGTCAAGTGTTCACTGCCTAATTTTTCTGCTTTGGTGATTAAGATTTTGGTAGAGAGAGGCAGCACAGTGTAGTTTAAAGGGCCCTGGATTAGAATAACACAAGCTGGGTTTAATATCTCATGTTGCCCTGGTTAATACTCTTAGCCTCTTTGTTTTTTCCCTTGTAAAACAGAACTCACAGTGCCTACCATATTTCACCAGGCCACTGAGAGTATTAAATAATGTAATGCAGATGAAGGAAATTTGGTGAGATATAAAATGCTATGCCTGGCTAATAAAATTACTACTAAGTGTCAGGTACTCATTAAAGTGGGGCAAACAGTACCAAGTTTTGATAGAAATGATGAGAACATACTAAGGAAACTCTTGTAAATGAATGGACAAGGTAATTTAGACTTTGGGCTTAACTTTAGTTTCATAATAAAAGGCCGATGAGTCTCACTAAAGTATTCCCAGAAACCCCACTCTTCAAGGCTATTATGGCAAATATCAGGGTCACTGGTTATTTAGTCAACACGCTGAAAATTCTGTGCTCAGTTCAACAGGGCTGATTCACTCTTAATGGATACCACACCTTAGTTCAATATAAGCTTTACATGCCATAAAATATTGGCTTCATTTCCATAGAGACTGTTAGGGACAATATTGATTTGTGCAGGAGAATTATTGGCCTGCTCTTCTATATTCTATTTAACTAGCAATTGGCAGAGTGCACGGGAAGTCATCAGTTACTTAGGCCAAGCTCCCTGGGTTTTCCTGCTACTTCTATTTCCAATGCCCCTTGGTTACCTGAGGATCAGCACACCTGAACTGCTTGCTGCCTTTACTCCTTTCCAGAGAACTCAGCCCTGGTCCCCAAGTTACCTGTGCATTTGCGATTTGCATGGTCTGCAAAGTATCCCTTCCCACATTCCTGGACACACTGGGCTTCCCAGAGGAGAAATGGCTCCTCACAGCGGGTGCACTCCCGGGGACCTTGGCACTGGAGACAGTGGCTGTCACAGCCTGAAAGACAGAAGTCAAGTCCACAGGAATGTGCATGGCTTTCCAAGTGGCTCCTGGTCCTGACAGAGAGGCAGCGTTAGACAGAGTGAACAGCATAACCTGGTGTGCTGGGCAAAGCAGCAGTCTCGGGGAGTCAAGGGGCCAGGCTGCTGGTTGTGACTCCTGGACTTACCAGCTGGGGGACAGAACTAGTTACTCCACCTCTCCGAGCCTCAGTATTCTCTCCTACAAAATGGGAGTGGACTTACTACCCTACCCAGCTCCCTGGGTGAAGATCAAATTAAATCATGGAAAATATTAAGCAAACTATAAATAAGCAGCTATTATTGCTGTTATTAACTAGTCCTTGACTCTATGTACTGCTTTCACTGAAATGTCCATCTTTTCCTGACTCACCCAATTATCAGAGTCTCCCAGGAAAGTTGTCTGGGCACTTTGGGTGGGCATTTCAGGGTCTGAAGATTTTGTGGTGTTAAATTGAGGGGATACTGGACCAGAGAACGGCAATGGTGAGATATCAGGTATATGGAAGGTTGTGGGAAGCAGATGGTGGGATAATGGGGTCTTCCCATGTGCTCCGGTGACCAGAGTACAAAGACCTTTCCATCTGGAGCACAGGCCTGCTCAATTTTTCAGGAAATCCAAAAGTAATAGCCAAAACATGCCTGTTTCTGTGGCCGTAGGCCCCCAATACCCCCATACTGCCCTCAAATTTTAGGAAATGTACTTGGGCATGAGAGGAAAAAGAGAAACATTTTCATTATGCCAAAGAAAAGTTCTTAGGAAAAGAAACCAGAAATTAGATAAAAAGCCAGGATGCAAACCTGCCACAGGCTCCTTCTCAGAACACTAAAAGCACAGGAGGCTGAAGCTTGGATGAGCACAGAGCAGAGGCTCCAGACACTTACTCTTGCAGAGTCCCCGGTCCTGGTAGGATGACAGTGCGCACTGCTCCACGCAGGCACCGTCCTGGAGGACGTAGCCCTCCATGCACTGCAGGCAGTCTGTCCTCAGAGGCCCGCTGCACGCATTGCAGCTCCAATCACACTCTAGAAAGAAAGGCGCCATCAGACCAGCTCCCTTTCTGTGCAGCGCCTGATTCATGAGGATGCGGCTGCAGCCGCGAGGGAGACAGCGAGGACGTCAGGCCAGCGAGCTCTAACGGCTCTGCCTGCAGGAGCCTGACCGCCTCTCGGAGGTTTAGTGCTTCCTAATTCCGTCACACACGAGTGTGTGCACGGATCGCTCCGTGCTCCTGCGGGGCCTGCTTGCCCGCGGGGCTGCCGAGGAGCCAGGTCAACTCGATCTCATTCCAAGGGCCCCGGGTTCTTTATCCCTGAGCCACAGGCCTTCCTGTAAAGCGCGCTATAGGGAGCGGCCACTTCCTCTGCAAACCTAATTCGGACCCCTCCAAATGCTTGAGAGGGAAAGGATGTCAGAGAGTCCACAGAGACCAGCTGCTTGACTCTCTCTTCAAAAACTGGGTGCTGACCAACACAACAGAAAGAACAGGGCATGAAGGAACCGTCCAAAAATAAAGGGCTTACTAAAGTAACAGATCTCATGTAGAGCAGAAGAGCTGACTCGTTTACATGTTGATTCACTCAACAAGCACCTGCAGGATTGGGCACTGAACGAGGGCAGGAAGTGAGAGGCAGAGACCCTGCTCTCAAGGAGCTTACGTTCTGGGGTGTCCCAGCCGTAGCTGTGATCCAAACAATCCAGTGCGATTGTTAGAAATCCAGGTGATCAGGCCCGGCATCAGAACTATAGTTAGTCTCAGGCGTTGGGGCAAGAAACATGTTGCCACTGCTATTGTTTTGTTGTGGTGATTACTATAGTCATTGCTTTTGTTTTTAATGGGCAGTTTGGATGAGGTCAGAAAACTCATGTTTGAAAACGAAGTGCTTGCTGGGAAGGTACGTCCTTCGTGGGTGGAAGATGGGACAGCACAGCGCTGGCAAGGACTTGGGTTTTGAAGTCTGGAAAGTCTGTATGCAAGTCACAGCTTTGTGCTTTTTATCTGCATATCTCATGTGCCTTCCTTGAGCTTTTAAAGCCTCAGTTTCCTTATCTATAAAACTAGAATAAGAATAGGCACCTACTGCATGAGGCTACTGTGAAGATTGCAATAATGCACGTGAAGAACTGAGCACAGTGCCTGACACGCAGCAACAGCTTCCTGAATGTCTGCTGCGGAGCTGTTTGCCTTGGAGAAATATCTCCACCCGGTGCTGCCTCACCTCCATCTTCCCTCCCCAAGAAGAAACTGGGGAAACCTCTCATTGGTTACTTTCTCTCTTCCTTGATGCAATATTTCTAAGTCCCAGGGAAGCAGGTAAATGTGCAAGACAGTACATGTGCTTCCATGAAGATTTATAAAGTTAATCTCACTCATTTATTTGGCTGAATCAGTCCTGAGGGAAAATGACTAAAATAGAGCTTTGAAAACTGCCAGCATAGTTATGAAATCATGTACAACAGGGGGGATTTGTGATAATCTTGTTTTTCACTGCAAACTAACAACCGCTGGTTAGGAGGGAAAATACAGAAAAGCTTCTGTGGTCTTGAGCACAGCAGACCACCTAAGTCGACAACCAAGGAGAATTTTTTGGAATGGAAAGTATGCAATATTGCAAAGGCTTCAGGCATCCCAAGTTTACCTGACAGATGTTTGACCTCCGTATCCGAGCCCTAGCTTCTCTGGCAGAACTGGAGATACAGAGGGGAATGTGGAATGGAGGAATGGAGAAGGGAAAAAAACAGGAGCAAGCAAAATCCATCCTTTAACTCTGCTTTTCCTCTGGCTGAGCACTGCCATTCAAAGAGCAAAAGCCCCTAAAATTCCAGCCACAGGAGAACAAAGAAAAAGGCAATTGGTCTTTGACATTATAAATTCCTTGAGGGCAAGAACTGTGTCTTCACTCATTTCAGTTGTATTAAGCAGAGATGAACAAATCAGATACAACTCCTGTCCTCATTAAGCATAAAGTCTAGCAATCTAGAGTTGTAAATGCAGGTGCCTATAGGACCCAGGAAGGTAATGTAAGTCTTTGAAATAGGCCTGGTGTGATGGAATAGGGAACGGTGGGGACTGGGGTGACCTGTAGAGATCAGGCTCCATCCAACAGAGACAGCAGCTACTCATCTCCGATCTCCTGTTGCATTCTGGGAATGCAAATCCAGTTTTCTGATTTTTCCAGATCTTCTGATTTTTTCAAAACAAATGGAAAATCTCAATTTCTGTCTGTGAGGTTTACTGATTTTTAAAAGACATTAAACATTTTAAAACACTGGAAGATTAGGTGGGCCACATACAACCTGAGGGTTTCTACTTTGCCACCCCTGGTATAGTTACCAACACCCTGCACAATGTCTGGCACACAGTAGGTGCTCAAAAATATTTGCTTAACAAATAAATTTTTTTCACCTCCCTGCTCAAACCTTTAACAAATAAATGAATGAAGGAATACATGGATGCATACAGACATAACGACTTCTTGCTATGACCACAGAAAGCCTAACTGTATGATGGCAGTATTTTCCCAGTGTGGGGGCTGAGCATCTACAGTAAAGGGGCATCACTGAGTAGCAGAACTGTGCAATTCAGTCTGAGCTTTACCTCTGCATGTCTTGGTGGAGAAGTCGAGATAGTACTGTGGGGCACAGCTCTCATACTGACACTCCCCAAAGAGCAGGACCTTGTTTGGATCTTGGCAGGAGGTACAGCTGGCCTGTGAGTCACAGCTTCTACAGTGTGGGCTGCACGCTGAGCAAACAGGGAACGAAAATGACCGGGTGATTACAATTGCAAATACTGAAGGACTGATCAAACCTAGACAGATGCTGCAAAGAAACAGAGCCCGGCGCCAACCTGTCCTTTAATTACGGCTCATAACCCTCCCCTGTGATAAACAGAAACAGAGAATGTCAGTCTTGCTTTCCAAAATAAAAAAAAAAGGTTATCTTACTTTCCAGAGAAGACAAACTAAAAACCCAAGAATGGAAATCCCACATCCAAGTTGCCTTGTGATTCAGCAACAGAATTTATACTTAGTCTGGGATCTCTGAAATGATAGTCCAGAGTTTTATTTGTACCTTACTTCTTAAGGAATCAAGCCCCTATAGTTTATGACATAGATTCATGTTTTTATGTGACGTCAAGATTAAAGTTAGGCATCAACTTTATTTTGAAATACAACATATTTTAAGATACAAAGGACTTAGAGGTGACCTGGCTTATTGCTTTGCACAGTTGTGCTTCTTAGTGGTTTACCTAATTCATGCATTCAGGGATGGGCCCTAAACTGATCATACTTCCACCTTCCCTAACTGAGCAACTGGCATTTCTCCATCTACTCAGCTGTTCACGCTAGAAACCTGAGAGTCTATTTTAACACCCCCCCATTTTCTTCCTCCCATTCACTCGCGGATCCTATTTACTTGAGCTCTCCTACATAATTCTCAGAGCTTTGTGCTTTTCTCTGTATCCACAGATGCCACCAAGACAGCCAAGCCATCATCATTTCCTGCTGGGCTACTACCACGGCGTCCTAATTAGTTTCCCCAAGTCCGACCTGACCCCCTTGCAATCTATTTTCCATGTTTCCAGCAGAGCAATATTTTCATTCATACTGCTCAGGCTTCAGAGGTCAACTTCATCTATACGCTTATGATTTTCTTGAATCCTGGAAAATCTCCAGCTTTCATTTTTGCAAATATTGCTCCTCCATCATTTTCTTTATTCTTCCCACCTAGAAATCTTAACACATATTTGAATTCTCTCAACATAATCTCCAAGTGTCTTGTCCTTAACTTGTCCTTGTTCTTCAGTCTCTTCTTCAAAGAGGCCCCCCCTGACTCTCCCTAGAATAAGTCTCCCAGCTACTGCTTTCATAACACTTTATACCCTTTTTCTCATGCCATACATCACAATTTTTGCGTAAGTGATTATTTAACATCTGCATCCTTTAGGCCGTATGCTTCATAAAAGCAAAGGCCAGGTTCGCCTTGTTCCTCGCAATAATCCCAGCACCTAGCTGGTTAGCTATCATTTTGTAGGTGTTCGGTAAACGCTTGTTACATAAATGAAAGAAGCCAGATACTTAATTATATACACTCAAGCACTAGCAGCTCTGCCTCGTTCTGAAATCTTCTCTAAATATAGGTCAGAGGAAAAGTCTGCGGAGCGATCATGGGAGTTTTAGGTCTATGAGATATCAAAGCATGAGGCACAATGCAGGAAAATTACCTCCCTGGATAGGCTGTTTTATCTATAAGAAAAGTCAGTGGTATAACATATTCATTAGAGTATGTAGGTTTGTAATTAAAGCTCCCATAACGATTCTAGATGGGAGTTTCAGATCATTTGGGAATAGTTAGAGGATATTTTAAGTGTTGGAAACTTACATGACACTAAACTTTTATCCAATTTTTTTCCCCACTAGGATTCCTACACATAGTGTATCTTAGTTTTGGCAAAGTGTTTGACAACGATCCCGAAGATAAACTTGTGAATACAAAAATAAAGGGGCCTAGTAGTTGTAGCTGTTTCTGAAGATGGTTGAAATGCATACTCAAAAAGTGATCAGGAAATCTTTGTAATGGGCAAAAGAAATGTCTAGTAGAGCATTAAGACCAAGCCTTAATTTTTCACTTGATCAATATTTATGTTAATAACTTTAGTGAAAACAAAGATGGTATGCTAATGATGTTTAAATACGCCATATACAGCTACATAGGAAACACACTAATTAGGTTTTACCAGCTGAAAGAACAACACAAACTCATTTTAGCCAGTTGAATAATAAGCTAAAAGTAATCAGATAAAATAAGCAAAACTTTAAGTCCTGCATTTATGTTCCATAACAAATTACACAAACAGAGGATACCAAAGACAGGCAGCAATTCCTAGAAAAAATGTTCTGAAAGTTTCAGTTGATTAAAAGCTTACGAAAAGTGTGATATGATTACTAAAGAAATGAATGCACTCTTGAGCTGAAGAGCCTTCATGTAAACCAACTGTCAGCTGGACCTCCCTGCTTGACACAGAGCTGCAAAACGAGGCCCGCACGCCAGTTCCTCGGGCTGGGGTGACAGGCCAGTGCACAGCTGAGTTTACTGCAGTTTACTTCCTAAGCTTCTGTCTGCCTGCATGCTCTCCAATCTGTCTTTCAGTCTTTCATTTCCCCTCGGCACCTCAGTGTACAGCTCAGCCCCTTCACTGACTTCCAAAAGAAGTGGATTCACGCTGAGCATCTTAAAACGTTAATAGGATTTGGAGGGGTGCGACAGTGTCGCTGGGCTTCCACCATTTCTATCTGAACCATTCCTCGCTCATCTGTCCCCTCGCCCTTCTCCAAGGCAGCCCGCAAATGAGCTGGTCTCACTCAGAGCAGTCCCGCACATAGAGCCCCTTAGGTCCCGCTGCCACCTTCGGAGCCATGTGGGTAGGAGCATTCCCCAACTATGACGTGCAGACAGTACAGGGTATTAGCCCTATCGCAGTCCTTTGCGATGACATCTGCAGTAGCAGGTGCAGTTCTCTGACCCCGTGGAAAGTGGACTGTGAAAAAGGAGAGGAGTGGGCCAGGACCCAGTGGTGGGATCAGGCACACAGATGAACCCTCACTCAAGGAGGGAGGGGCCTCGCGGCTTAGGAAGTCCACCCTCCTCTGAAACAGGCTTGCTTTCCACCGCAGCTCTGGGAGAGGGCCATCATTTCCACTTAAATATTCCACCGGCCTCCATTCTGCCTGAGCAGAGAAGTCCAAGTGGGATGGCACTTAATTTCAAGCTGTTGAAGGTAATCATTGACTGAGGAAGGCCACTTTTTCTATATCGCTACATGTAGGGGGGGGTTCTAGGGCCAATGAGAAAAACTGTCGGACAGCTAAACACCCCCCCCCCCC